GATTTTCTTGATAATAGAATTTTTTAATAATTTTTATTTTATAATTCAAAAAAATAACTTTTTAAATAAAATTTTAAAAAATATATTAAATTATATAATACTTATTATTACCAATGACTTTCTAGTTTAAATTGAAAGAGTTCAATTCTTCTTAAATAAGATCTCAAGTCTAAGTCCATGAATGGAAAAATAGGCACTAGGAGAATTTCCCCCATATGGGGTTCGATTCGATTTGACTCCAAATTAATCAAGACCCAATATGATTTCTAAATATCGGAGAATTAACATCAAAAAATAATACTTATCATTAAATGATGTTTTAAATATTAAGACTCTCTTTTATCTAATTACATCTTTTGTAATACTTATTGTAAAAATTTGCTAAGATTGGTGTCTTGACCGAAGAGGTGAGGAGAATTAATTAGGTTTCATCTTCCTCCACTTCTCAGAGGACAAGGGGAGAAGAAAATATAGGGGTTAAGGTTAAGGAGGCTGAGATAAAAAATAGAAATAAGTCACGGTCAAAGTATAGAAATCTTGAATGTCACCAGTATTGTGGTAAAAAATGACATATCAAGAAATATTATTTTCAGCTGAGAAAGGAGATGAGGCAAGAGTAGGAGAAAGATAGTGATAATGAGAACTGTGTTGCTATTGTCATTGAAGGTGATCTTTTTTGTCTTGGTGATGAAAATGTCATCAATTTTATATGCCATAACACAAGTTGGGTTGTGGATTTTTGTGTCCCATACTAAAAGGAATTTTTCACATCTTATATTTTTGGTGATTTTGGGGTATTGAAAATAGGTAATGACGGTCAAATTATGCTGATTGATATGGGGATAGTTTGCTTGCAAACCAACATTAGCACAAGATTGGTTCTTAAGGATGTCAAGCATGCATCTAATGTCTAACTCAATTTAAGTTTTGCAAGAAAGCTGGATGATGATCATTATTGCAGTTCTTTTAGTGATGGGTAATGAAAACTTACAAAGGGTTGTGACTTGAATTATCAAATGTTCTAACTTGTATTTGATGTAGAATTCTATTTCTAGTGTTAATTTGAATGTAGTTGAAAAAAATTAATCATAAAATGAGTTATGGCACAAAAAGCTTAGTCACATGAGTGTGAAGGGGATAAGTTGTTTGGTCAAGAATAATGTACTTTCTAAACTAAACGAAGTAAAGCTAAAAAAATATGTTCATTGCTTGGAAGGGAATAGATTGTTTAGTCAAGAAAAATGTGCTTTCTAAACTAAAGAAGCAAAGTTGGAAAAATGTGTTTTGCTCTTTTGGTTGTTGTCATATTTTATTTGAATTCGATTTAACAATTCCTAATGATTTTAGATAAAATACAAAAAAATTTGGTATTATTTTTATTTCTATTGTGCTCAAGTGACACCATGTTCTTCTTTGTAGCACTTCTTTTCCTTTTCCAAACTTATTTGGAGCCTTCTCTTTATTTAAATTACCACTCGATGCTTTGCTCTGTTTCTTTAATTTTTTATCTTGACTCCTAAGGTACCTTTTTTTTTGTCGTTATCTTGATTCCTAAGATTTATGTAGATATATGTAAGTAGAGGTCTTGCCCTTAACAACCTACAATTCATTCCTTTTAAATCAGTTTGTTCATCGGCAAAAACTTACAACGGAAGCATGGAGGCTAATCAGGTTAAACCAGTTCCATCTGTAATTATGTTAGTTTGTTCTTACAAATACTTCTGTTTCCATGAATGCTCTGAAGTGCATAGAATATGGTTAGTAGTTCTAAATTAATATGGTTGCAAAAATGATATATGATCACTTGCTATTTCTCCTGTTAAATCTTTTGTTATTTTCGTTTTTTGGCAAAAAAAAAAAAAGTTTTATGCATGGTTAAGCATTTTGTACAGAGTAATGCAGGAGTAGTTTCATTCATGATTGTGCCTGAGGTCCTTAAAGAAGATAATTATCAAAGGTGGTGCATTTTCATGAAACACTATTTAGTGGCTCAAGACCTTTGGGATGTGGTTGTATTAAACAAGATGCGTCATGCTCATGGAGAAGACCCAAAGAAGTGGAATCAAAGAAATGCTTTAGCTCTGCATGCTATTAAGATCTCATGTGGAGAAGCAATGTTTGATAAGATTAAGGAGATGAATTCAGCAAAAGATGCTTGGAAAGCATTGGCTGACTTGCATAGACAACCAAATGACAACGGGAACGAAGATACAGGTTTATTTTTCATCTCTATCTTTTTCTTAATTTTAATAATATTGCCCCAGAAAATAATCTTACAATCCTTGGCAGGATTCAGGACTTTTGAAAGGAAACAAGCCATAACATTGCTCAAGCACATAAAAAAGGGAGCTTCTGACGCTGTAAAAAAACACTTTGTAGAACATCAAGATACTGTGTATCTTGCAGCATTAAGAACCCTTCCTCCAGCATTAGAAGACCGTTCCACTCTTCTTCATGTTGCAATTGCTGCTGGCCAGGTAAAGTTGGCTAAGGAACTAATTTCGATGATGTTCAAAAAAGAGTTGGAAATACAAAATAAGCGCGGCCAGACAGCTCTCTCCTGGGCTGCTTGTAAGGGAAGTAGAAAGATCGTAGAATGTTTGGTTGAAAAGAACAAAAGATTGCTTGAAATACCAGATTGTGAGAAGAAGATCCCACTTGTATTGGCCTGTGTCTCTGACCGTAAGTCTTTGACTCTTTATCTTTATTCCGTTACACCTAGTGAAATTCTAGATCCAAAAAATGGAGACCATGGGTCCTTCCTCCTCAAAGAGTGTATAAGGAACCATATGTTTGGTAAGAGAGCTGTAAATTTTAATTTTTTGTCTATTTCTCTTTGACATATATGCATGCATGCTTTTATTTTACCTTAATTTCTCAAACAAACTGGTATTTTTGAATCAGATATTGGACTCGATCTGCTGCGCAAATTTCCAGATTTGACATTTCACAAAAGCTCTTTGGAACCTACCCCTGTTATTTCAGTGTTGGTCGAAAC